TAAAATTCATAGTGATAAGGAAAGACTCAAGTGAGGAGATATTTGAGCTGAGAGCTGCCTAATGAGAAGGACCCTGTCCTGGAAGACTGGGGCAGGGAATGAGAGACTGGTCTAAGCAGAGCAAACAGCCAGTGCAAAGGCCCTGGGGTCAGAGAAAGATGGGCATGTTCAGAAGACCAGAAAGATGGATCTTACAGAGTACATGCAGATGGGGTAATAACCCCTGGATTTGTTCTAAATACAATGGGAAGCTTTTGGAGGATTTTATTATTTTATTTACTTATTTATTTTTTTGAGATGGAATTTTGCTCTTGTTGCACAGGCTGGAATGCAATGGTGTGATCTCGGCTCACTGCCTCCACCTCACAGGTTCAGGTGATTCTCTTGCCTCAGCCTCCCAAGTAGCTGAGATTACAGGTGTGTACCACCATGCCCGGCTAATTTTGTATTTTTAAGTAGAGACAGGGTTTTACCACGTTGGCTAGGCTGGTGTCAATCTCCTGAACTCAGGTGATCCACCCTCCTCAGCCTCCCAAAGTGCTGGGATTACAGGCATGAACCACCACGCCTGTCTTTGAAGCTATTGGAAGATTTCAGAGGCACAACTGAAATACAAAAATTAGCCAGGCATGGTGACAGATGCCTGTAATCCCAGCTACTTGGGATCCCAGTTCTTGACCTGGCCTCAAGCTCAAGAACTGAGTAAATTTAGGTGTCAAGACCTAGTTGCATTTTAAAGGCTCACTCTGGCTGCCAGTGGGGAGTCCACAGTGTGGGAGAGGGCAGGCATAGAAGCAGGACATCATGTAGGAGGCTGCTGTAGTTTTCCTGGTGGGCGTGGGTGGCAGCTTGCAAACTGGCCTCAAATGTCCCTGATTCTATGGCTTGAGATAGTCCAAATCCCTCCTTAAGACTTCTCAAGAGATCAGTTCCTAGCTGCCTTTTCCATCTCCAGCAACTGTGCCTGCATGTTGTTCACCACCTCACTGAAGATGAGAGGTTTCATATCACTCCATGCTCACTTGTCCTGGCCTTCCCTCCAGGTCCTGGCACTCCCCTTCCTGTTCTGCTCTGAGGAACAAAGAAAGCCCTCTCATTGTGACACACACAGCAATTTCCTCCTCTTGAAGTCTTAGCACCAGCAGCATTCATGCCCTTTGGGAATCAATTTTGCCCTCAGTGAACTTGTTAAAATATCCTCCCAAACAAATACAGCACTTTCCCCTAAAAGGACATCTGGCAAATGAAGCATTATTTTATTTGTGGCACATCAGCCTCTCCAGATAGCTGGAGAGCTCCCTGAGGGCAGGGCTGTGTATGGATAATAATAATGTCTGTGCCCTAGGTCAAGTTTTCCCAGAATCAGGCCCTGGGATGAGGGTTCATGGGCAAGTGACTTATTAGGAGACTGCTTCCAGGAGAAACTGACAAAAAGATCAGGAATGGGAAGTAGCCGTGCAAGGGTGACATTTCAGATCAAGTTCAGCCTCAGCCTGATACTGCAGGAAGCTCTGGGTACGGAGATGGGTACCTGACACCTTAGAGTTTGTGCCACCTCGAGTCTAGGAGCAGCTGGGCTTTCTATCCTGTCCTTATGAGTCAGTGGCTAAAGACTACCCTGGAAGTGATATAAATTCCCAGATATGCGTAGCGGAGCTTCCATAGCCCAAAGTCAGTCTTCAGGGAAAGGCTGCAGGTGTACAGAGATGGGCTCAAAGGACTCGCAAAAATAGTGCTGAGCTCCCACACTATCCACTCCAGTAAATATCCCCAGTTCTCAGAACAACTGATGCAATGTGTATGCTCAATGGTGTTTGTTGAATTTATCAGCGAATTTAGTGTCCAAGGCTACATACAGGCTGGTATGGATTGCAGTGGGTATAAAGAGACTAGAAAGTCAGAACACTCTTCCTGTAGAAAGCTCTTCTAAGCTTCAGGATCAGGATGCAGACAGGCAGGGCTTGGACTCCTAGTGACAGTAGTGATGGGGTCTCAGATGTCATCGTGATGGTTGGCTATGTCCTATTCTCTGAGAATGTCCCACTAACAACTATTACGTTTGTGCAGTGTTTTGACATTGACAAGTTGTTTTTACATTTAATTTTCCCACTGGGCCCTTAAAACATGCACATGAAAGAGATTATTCCCATTTTAAAGATGAGAAAACTGGGGCTCAGAGGAATGAACTCATTAAGTTTCACATAGCAAAGGACTAAGAATCGAGACTTGAATTTGTTGTTAAAGGTGGTTGATACTGACTAGATTCCTAAGGATGCTTAAGATGATTAACTAATGCAGTTGCTCTTTGCTTCTTTGAGAGAGAGATTGCAAACTGTGGGCCCATATGCCAATTCCAGTTACCAGATGCATTCTGGGTAGCACAGTAATTTTTTCATTTCACAGATGTTTCAGTACTGAATGATTTCACATGAATACCTGGATTTCTGGCTTTTCTTGAAAACTGAACATCTGGTTCCACATTCCATCCTGGCTGGGATTGTGGCTGCTGTCCCATTTTAGATGGGTCACCCTCTCTCCGGTTTTTAAAATTTGCCATCACTGCATATAGCTGCACTGTTTAATAAGGTAACCACTAGCCATATGGGGCTATTGAGTCCTGAACTGTGGCTAGTCCAAACTGAGATGGCTATTAGGGATAAGGGAATCTGGGAGGTATTTTTCCACTTCTATTAAAAAATTCTTATGGGGTTCACACTGGATTTCTGTTGGACCCTAGTGGCCCATAGTCTTCACATCAAGCCAGGTTCTTGCATTTCTGCTCCCTGCCTGACCCTGTAGGCACAAGAGCTTGCAACCCCTGATGAATGAGAAGGAAGTGTGACCTGGAGTCAGGAAGCCAAAGTTCAAGTCCTGGCTCTGACACTTCCTGTGTGATTTTGGGAGAATTACCTCCCCTCTCTGTGCTTGGTCTCTTTGATTGTACAATGAAGACTTTGGACTGAATTTCCAACTTTCTACAATGGAAATCTTTGGACTCAATTTCCAACTTTCTACAATGGAAAGAAACTTCCCCTCCCACACGCCTCTGAATTTACCCTCGTGTGGTGGGGCTCTGCTGCTGTCAGCTTTGATCTGAGATTCCCCAGCTGGGCACCCCCTCCTCTTGCCCTGATTCTCTGCACTCCAGCTGCTTCTGTATCTTTGGGGAGCCCTGTCTCTGTCAGGGGCCTCCATCGTCATTCCACAGGGGGCTGCATCCTGGATCATTCTGCATGGCTTGCTGTTTACAAAATGAGAGGTTGACCATGTTTCCCTTTCCTTTTTCATTAATATCTGCAGTTTGCCCTCATTTCATTCACATACTTTAGCTATTAGTTTGTTCACCTTCCACAATTATTTTCATGCACCCATGGGTTCATAAACCATTGTTCCAAGTGGCGTGTTGCCTATTTTAAGAACTTAATTTGTTTATAATGTGCACATCAGCTGCATGATTTGTTTCTTGCTGGTAATTAACTTTTAAGCTGATGCCATTCCCCTGCCAAAAGTGAAACTCAAGGTAAAGTTGGTAAGATTAATCATGCTGGCTGCATCCAAATCTTCCGATATCTTCATCAGACTCAGCAAGTTTGGGGAAAATGATGTTTTTTTCTTCCACTTCCATCTGTTACCCTGCCGATCTTGGAGCCAATCCATCCATTAGTGGGCTTGAGTGTTGGAGTTGGAATCTGAGACTTTTCAGTTTCTGTACCAAGACAGGCAAACTTTTCCTCCAAAGCCTCTCACCCTGCAACTTGAACCCATCTCTTCCTTCCTGGGAGGGTCCCTGGATACTGATGAATCATGAAATGGTTGTATAATACATCCCAGATTCCCTTAGTGCTGTTGTAGAGTTATTTGCTTGTTTCCATGGTCTTTTGCAATTAGACAAATCAGCAATGTTTTGGATGGATCATCTCCATTGATTGGATGGGGTGTTTGGGTTGTAAATAGCTGCCTTTATTAATCTTTCCATTTAATGATTCTCTGTCTGTAGGTCATGAGTAAAACAGAAATTCCAGATTGCCCTCCTTCGTGGCAAACCTTTAGAAATTAGGTTGTATTAGGACAGTGCTTCTCAAACCTGAATGTGAACTCCTGGGTGAGATTATGATTCAGTTGGTCTAGGGTGGGACCCACAAATCTGCGTTCGACATACTCCCTGAAGAGGCCAGCACCGCTAGTCCGGGACCATACTCTGAGAGGTAGGCATTAGCCAGCCAGCCTTGTGAAGACTGGAATGATATCAGTCTTTTTTCTCATTGGCCTGTGGATACCTGCAACTATTGGGAGACTGAATGAGTGAATGACTGAATGAGCTGCACTGAGAAATGTAGATAATGCTCTCCCAGATCGATCTTATTAGAGTGAGATGCCTTCCTTCTTATTCTCACGCTAGCAAAAAAAAAAAAAAAAAAAAAGTAGTAATTTTATATTTTTCCCAATTTAGGAAGGGCTAAATGTCATACGCTGATTTATCTCCTCCATAGATGTGGTATTTATGTGTGTGTGCACACACATATGTTTGGCTTTTGGAGGTGAATTTATAGTAACAGAATGCTCTTCACCATGTATCTCTTTCTAACTATAGCCTGCCGCCTTCATCTGAAAGGGCCCGCTTCCAGAGATCCCTGCAAATTGAGAAATCCTTGTTCCTGTTTTTAAAATTCTTCAGAGAGCTGCCTGGTTTTCCCTCTAAGGCACTGTTTTTTTCCATATTTCTGATCATATCAATGAAGGAGCTTCAAATAAGTGCTGACTTTCTGTAACACTTCTCTTGAACACCTTGAAGCTTCTATCATTCTTCAGCTACCATGAATGGGTTGTCAGTTTTTCTTGAGGCCAAACTTGTAAATACACACACACCCATACACACACACAGTATTTTAAAGACTAGAAGGTCAGGACATATGACCTGGGTGCTCATTTAAAGAGACAGAGGAGCAGAACATTTTAAAGTGGATCCTTTCCCTAAAACAGGTAGCTGTTTTCACATTTACCTGGAATTTCATGTTCCATTACTGCAGGAGGTCCTCTAGGCTGTTTCACCTTCAGGGTCCTCCGGCACCTCCTCCTCCAAGACAGGCTGTGAATTTTCCTGGGTGCCCCACCAGGACCCCTGGACTATTGTGGATTTCTGTAGTTTCCTGGCCAGCCCCACCTGTGAGATGTGAGAGAATGCTGAAAAGGGAAAATGAGAACTCTGAGAGTGTCTTTTGCCCAAGGCTTTGTGGATAAGAAGTGGTGGAGACACCCCACAAACTCAGGTGGTCTGACCCCGGGCTACCAGTCTTAACTATTATGCCCCACTGTTGTACATCTCATACTTACAGTGCCCAGGAGTCTCTTGGGGACCTTGTTTAAATGCAGAGTCTCATTCATTAGGTCTGAGGCGAAGCCTGAGATTCTATAGTTCCAACAAGCCCCCAGGTGATGCCAATGCTGTCCACCTGTTACCCATGCTCTGAGAACTACTGGTCTGGAGGGTCTCGCTCTTGACTACATTGAAATCACCCAGAATCTTTTAAAAACTGCCACCTTGTCTGCACCTCCAGAAATTCTGATTGAATTATAGCAGCCTGGCCATCATGAGGTTAAAAAAAATTTTTTTTTTTCTTAAGATAGAGTCTCACTCTATCACCCGGGCTAGAGTGCAGTGGCATGATCTTGGCTCCCTGCAACCTCCACTTCCCAGGTTCAAGTGATTCTTCCACCTCAGCCTCCAGAGTATCTGGGATTACAGGTGTACGCCACCATGCCTGGCTAGTTTTTGTATTTTTTGTAGAGATGAGGTTTCACCAAGTTGGTCAGGCTGGTCTTGAACTCCTGACCTTAGGTGATCTACCTGCCTTGGGCTCCCAAAGTACTGGGATTATAGACATAAGACAGCGTGCCCAGCCAAAAAAAATTTTTTCATTTTAAAAACAGAGACAGGGTCTTGTTGTGTTGCCCAGGCTGGTCTTGAACTTCTAGTTTAAATGATTCTCCCACCTTGACCTCCCTAAGTTCTGGGATCACAGACATGAGCCACTGTGCTTGGCCTGATCATGAGTTTGAAAAGCTCCCTGGGTGAATCTAGTGTGCTAGCTGGGCTGAGAACCATTGTTCTAGGGCTTTTATTGAGATCTCATCTGTTTCAGGACCTCCTGAGATTCACGCCCATCTGCTCTTCTGCAGAACAGTCCAACTCCCACCTCTGGGATAGGGGAGCTCAGACTGGGACTGACTTGGAGTCTCCCTCAACCCTCTGTCCTGTCCTGAACTGGTTGGTTGGACCAGAGATGCTCTGGGTACTGTGCCAGTGGGAGCAAGCAGGTGCAAGGCCACATCTGGCAGAGAACAGCACAAGGAGAGGAATAAGATCTCCTCTGGGGGACCAGGAGACACTTCCAAGCTGCTTTTTGCTGAAATGCTCAGCTGCCAACTTTGGTGTTGCTGTGGAGGCTACCTGGGATTCCCCTCCTGCCAGGAAGAGGGGAAGTGGGCCCTGGAATCCCAGGGAAGCTGATACCACCAAACTGGGCTGTGTCAGCAAGTCCTGCAGTACTGAGTGCCTACCAGTAGCTGTGCAAGAAAAAGGGTTGAGGACCAACTCTTTCAGCCCCTTCACAATCCACAGTGATGAAGCTCATTGAGCCCAGCTGTGCTTCAGTGATCTAGGGCTTTACTGGAGGTGCTTCGGAGAGTGCATTAGTTTCCTCTGGCTGTTGTAACAAAAGACTACAAATTCAGTGGCTAAAAACAACACAGATTTATTATCTTCTAGTTCAGGAGATCAGGAATGTGGCACAGGTCTTTGTGGGCTAAAACAAAGGAATTCTTTTCTGGAAACTCTGGAGGAGAATCCATTTTCTCGTCCTTTTCAGCCTCTAAAGGCTGCCTGGTGTCCTCAGCTTTGGGGCCCCTTCCTCCATCTGCAATGCAGCAACAGTGGTGTGAAGTTTTCTCACATTGTATCACTCTTCTGCCTGCCTCTTTCACTTTTTTGGCTGCTCATTTCATAAATATTTGTCAGACATCTACATGGCATCAGGCACTGTTGTAGGTACTTTGGATCCAGCATGAATGAAACAGACAAAATCCCAACTTTTATGGAGTAGTTTCCAGGGAAGAGGACAATAGGAACAACCATACGTTGATATATTGCTGGGCACTGTGGCAGGTGTTTGTGGTCCCAGCTTCTGGGGAGGCTGAGGCGGGAGGACCACTAGAGCCCAGGAGTTCTGAGCTGCAATGCACTGTGTCTATTGGGTGTCCACATTAAGTTCGGCATCAATGTGGTGACCTCCTGGGAGTGGGAGACCAACAGCTTACCTAAGAAGAGATGAACTGGTCCAGGTTGGAAATGGAGGAGGTCAAACTGCCTCTAAAAAAACAAAAAACAAGCCATAAGTGTACATATTATAAAATATATTAGAAGATGAGTTCTATGGAGGAGAAAATATAGGGAAGGCACATAGAAAGTACTAAGTGACTATCTTCCACTTTTAACATCTCTTCTGATTAGACCCAGATAATCTCCCTATTTTTTTCTTTTTTTGAGATGGAGTCTTGCTCTTTCGCCCAGCCTGTAGTGCAGTGGCACAATCTCAGCTCACTGCAACGTCTGCCTCCTGGGTTCAAGCGATTCACTTCCCCCAGCCTCCCGAGTAGCTGGGATTACAGGCACTTGCCACCGCGTCCGGCTAATTTTTGTATTTTTAGTACAGACGGGGGTTTCACCATATTGGCCAGGCTAGTCATGAACTCCTGACCTTGTGACCCACCTGCCTCGGCCTCCCAAAGCACTGAGATTACAAGTATGAGCCACCACACCTGGCCTATCTCCCTATTTTAAGATTAGCTGATTAACAACCTTAATTTCATCTGAAAATATAATTCCCCTCTGCCGGGTAATAGAACATGTTCACAGGTTTGGGGGATTAGGACATGATGTCTTTGATGGGGTCATAATTCTGCCTGACTCAGGGATTTAGGGGTGAGTCTGAGTCTGAGACTCCGGTTCTCCCATCCTTTCTGAACCCTGATTTTAATCAGATAACTTTTGTTAAGTATCTGTTTCCATGCAACAAAGTATTGCAAAGCTAACAAAAGCTTTTCAATCAATGGTCTAGTCCCTTTTCCTGGACCAGCAGCAAGAAAACCTGGCAGCTTGCTAGAAATGTGAAATCTCATGTTTTGCCCCAGACCCGCTGAGCCAGGGTCTACAACTTAGCACAGACCAGGATGATCTGTGCCTACAATGAAGTTTGAGAAGGACCAGGGGGGTTAGTTTCCTGCCTCCATGGCTGTTCGTTGAAACCATACAGAGAGTTTTGGAAATATACTGATGCGTGGGCCCCACCAAAGATTGATTGCCCCAGGGGTGCCACCTGGGTGTTGGAGTTTTTCAAATCTCCAGGGTGATTTTAATGTGCAGTAGAGTTTGAGAACAGCTCATCTAGCCTATGCTCCCAGAAGAGGAAACTTCACAGGAAGGGAAAGTGACTTGGCCAGGGTCCCACAAAGGGTTGCTGGCCATCCCAGGAAAGGATTCAGGTCTCCTGACTTTCTGGATTGACGAATTCTGCTTCTACCAAGAAAAAAAAAATAGCAACAACAACAATTTGGGTGGAGAGAGGGGAGAATTTTCCTCTACTCCTGTTTTTATCCTTCCTTAAAGTTTGGATTGTTTTTAATGTCAAGTATGTTGTAATTTTAATACATAAAAAATACTAAGGACTGGTTGACATGGTTTGGATCTGTGTCCCTGCCCAAATCTCATCTCAAATCATAATCTCCAATGTTCGAGGAGGGGCCTGGTAGGAGGTGACTGGATCATGGGGTTGGATTTTTTCCTTGCTCTTCTCAGGATAGTGGGTGAGTTCTCACAAGTTCTGTTTGTTTAAAAGTGTATGGCACCTCTCCCTTCTCTCTTCCTTCTCCTCTGGCCATGTAAGACATGCCTCCTTCCTCTTCACCTTCTGCCATGACTGTAAGTTTCCTGAGGCCTCTTCAGCCATGCTTCCTGTACAGCCTGCAGAACTGTGAGCCAATGAAACCTCTTTTCTTTGTAAATTACCCAGTCTCCAGTAGTTTTTTATAGCAATGTAAGAATGGATTCATACACTGGTTAAAAAATAAATAATAAAGAAAACCCAGGATTCTAATAATAGTGACCATTTTGTTGAGGTCCCTTCACGTGCTTGGGACTCTGTACACATTTGTTCATGTTATCCTCACTGTATCTCTACAAGGTGGGAAATTATTGTTCCATTTTGCACTTTTTTGGGAGAGGATCTCCAGGGTTCTATGGTTTAGGCATTGGAATCTTGCTGAAAGTGGAAAACTTGGATGACCTGTGGTTAGCCCTTGGATTGGCCCCTGTTATGAGGTGGGAAGGGTGTGTGTGTGTGTGTGTGTGTGTGTGTGTGTGTGTGTGCAGCAGCCCCTAAGCTTATCACAATTTCCTGATCACAATTTCCTGTTGTCACCTATGGCTTGTTCTGTGGATCACTGGGCTTTGACCAGGAGCAGAGAACCAGAAACAAGGTACTATGTGCCCCTGCTTACTTTCTCCTTCTCTCCCCTACCCTTCCTTCCCTTTCCTTTTCCTTACCCTTCCCTTCCCTTTCCTTCTTCTTCACTCCCCTTCACCTTCAGTCCCCTCCCTTTTCCCCCTTTTCCCTCTGATCTGGGTGGAGACAAACCACCTACCTTTCCCCTTTTAATTTTGGTTCCTGAATCATTATACCAAAAAGTTACCTGTACCCGTATGTTTAATCGCAGCATTATTCAAAATAGCAAAGATGAAATCAACCTAAGTGGCCATCAATGGAGGACTGGTTAAATAAAATGTGGTATAGATACCTATATATCCACACACAATGGAATACCATTCAGCTGTAAAAATAAATGAAATTTTCTTTTGTAGCAACACGGATGGAACTGGAGGCCATGATCATCAATGAAACAACTCAGACACAGAAAGACAAATGCTGTATGTTCTCATTTGTAAGCAGGGGCTAAATAACGTGTACACATGGAAGCAGAGTGCAGGGTGATGGACAATGGAGAGTTGGAGGAGTGGAAAGTGTCAGGCAAGCGGGCAATGGGTGATTGCTTGATGAGTAAAATGCGTGTGGCTCCAGTGATGGACGTACTGAAGGCCCAGGCTTCACCACAGTGCAACACATCAGCGTAGCAAAAAATAAATTTGGCTTCAAAACAGACTTGCAGCCTAACCATGCATTATAGAGGAAATGATTAAAAATGTAATTATTATTTTCACTTTTCAACAAGCCCAATGGATAACGTTTGCCTACTTTATTAGTTGTGCTAAAAAATAACAAATAGCTAATATCAATTTTTTGAAGCTTACTCCGTGCCAGGCTCTCTCTCCTTTACCTGTTTAAACTCATTTAAATCTCCTAAGTCTATGAAGCGTAGCTTCATAGTCCCATTTAGAGATTAGAAAATTGAGGCACAGAGATGAAATGAGCTGATGCTTGGAAATGGCTCATTTTGTGGCTGTCAGACATCTGGGAAGTGTGCATTCATGGGTTTACTCTCACTCTCTCTCTCCCTGACAGCTGTCTGGTTGAATCCCAGCACTTGCTGTGAGCAAGTCCCATTTTAGAGATTAGAAAATCGAGGCACAGAGATGAAATGAGCTGATGCTTGGAAATGGCTCATTTTGTGGCTGCCAGACATCTGGGAAGTGTGCATTCATGGGTTTACTCTCACTCTCTCTCTCCCTGACAGCTGTCTGGTTGAATCCCAGCACTTGCTGTGAGCCTCAGCCAAGGCTTCCTTGGCTGAGGGTCCTTAACATGGGAGATGTCACCCTGTCGCTTCACCTCAGTTTCCCCTGCTCAGCACTGCCTTTCTTTCCGAGGTGCTGGGAGGATTCTGTAAATAGTTCCCTCGAGGTGCTGGAAGCACTGGGTGGAGAAACTCACTATAAATACCCAGCACTTATAATTAGCCTTCATGGCGGCACAGTTCTGTGTGTGGGGGAGGCGAACACCTGCAGGGGCAGAAAGTCAAAATGCAGGGGTCCGGGGCCTCTACAGAACTGCTTCCTGGTACCACCGGAGCCAGAGAGGACCCATACAAAGTGAAGAGCCCCAGATAAGAACACAATGGGGCCCCCCTGATTTTGCCACAGCTGCAGACAAGAGCATTAGGGGCTGGTAGGAGATCTCGGCTCCATTACTCCCTGTCTGTGACACCTGCAAATTAGTGCAGTCCTCCGAGCCTCAGTTTCTACATCTGTAAGCTGGTGTAGTATACGACAAAAGACATCTGGTGGCTCTAAGATCAGTGGTAGCCATAAAACCCATCCGAGCATCTTGCAGGGCTGACACTACCTGTCACTTAGTCTGATGCAGCCTGGCCCGGGGATTTCCAGGAGACAGAGTTAAATCGGCACAGATATAACTTTCATAAATCTTAAAATAAAGCTTATCCTCACAAGAATAGCTTAAACTCCTTTTATGTAAGAAACACCTGGTAAGGGACCTGGACTGAATACAGATGGAAGGGGGAAGGATCCCCCAAACATTGTTAATGGTCTCTGGATTGACATCCTCCTGGTCAACTGACCCTCAGCTGTGTCTTGCCATGCCACCAGCCTGCTCCCACTGTCTGTCTCGTAAGAACATGCAAGAATAAGCTGTTTAAGCATCAGATGGCATCTAAGACTCATCTTTGGCTTGGATCAAATGGAAGGAGAGAAGTAACCCCTGGGGAAGCTTGTCATCTAGGATCACCAGAAACCCCTGATCATGACGTATGCAGATAATCACTCCTACTATGAATAATTAAAGATAATGTATATAAAGCTCCCGGTATTGGTGCATGGAGTAGGTGCCTCACAAATGCAAAGTTCTTGTTCCCTTTGTGTGCACATCTGGGCAGATGGCATCTAAGTTGCAATCAGATGGCCCTCTCCCACTTAAAGACTGTTTTAGGCTCCCCATTGGTGGCAGAGGCACCCCATGCCTATGTCTTGCCCCCATGCTCCTCCTCTGCATTGATACTTTTTTTTTTTTTAAGACGGAGTTTCACTCTTGTTACCCAGGCTAGAGTGCAATGGCGTGATCTCAGCTCACTGCAACCTCTGCCTCTTGGGTTCAAGCAATTCTCCTGCCTCAGCCTCCCGAGTAGCTGGGCTTACAGGCACAGGCTACCACACCTGGCTAATTTTTGTATTTTTAGAAGAGAAGGGGTTTCACCATGTTGGCCAGGCTGGTCTTGAACTCCTGACCTTTTAATCCACCCGCCTCAGTCTCCCAAAGTGCTGGGACTACAGGCATGACCACGGCAGGCCACTGATACTAACTTCTCACCCCACCTCAAGAGTGTGCCCTGAGTCTT